GATGGATGCATGAATGGATGGACAGACACACAAACAGAGATATATAATAGATGATAGATAGATGATAGATAAATGACAGATAGATGATAGAAAGATAGATTGATGATAAATAGTATATGATGGATTGATAGACAAATTATAGTTAAATAGATAGACTGATAATAGATGATTGATACATAGATACGTAGACAGATCCATTTATAGATGACAGAAATAGACAGATGCATTTATAAATGTTAGCTATATGGATAAGAGGTAGCTAAATGATAGCTAAATAGACATATCCCTGAGAGGTAACTGCTGGCAAATACATAGATAAATTATAGAAGCATAGATGGATTGATGATCGAAAAGGATAGAAAGACAGGTGCATTTATAGATTATAGATCGATAGATAGGGATAGATAGATAGGTTGATGGTAGATAATAGATGATAGATTAATAGACAAATTATAGATACATGGATAGATTGATGGTAGATGATTGTAAGATGCATTTACAAATGATGGATACATAGATGATGGACAGATGTGTTTAAAGATGAGAGATTTATAGGTGATAGATGATAGATAACAATAGATAGACAATGATTGATAGACAATAGATGATTGATATGTAAATACCTACATGAGAGCTATATAGAAGTGTGTAGCATCACTAAACCATCATTACAATTATACGAATATATATAGTATATATATACTATATACTATATATAATACTATATACTATATGTATATATATAATTTTTTAATGTGTACGAGTGTATCACCTGAATGTAGGTAAGTGCACCCATGTCACGCAATGCTCGCGGTGGTCAGAAGAGGCTTGTTGGATCCCCTGGGACTGGAGTTACAGACAGTTGTTAGCTGCCATGTGGGTGCTGGGATTCCAAACCAGGTCTTCTGCAAGAACAACCAGGGTTTTAAACCACTGAGCCATCTCTCCAGCCCCTACATTTAGTTTTTAAGGTAGGCATGAACTTGGAGGATACCTCTTTCCCCAGGCAGCTCTTGGAACTCTGTTCCCTGGAACTGTGCTTCAAGGTCAAGCTTTCCCAGTCTTCATGATTTCAGTGAAGAAGGGCATACCTCAGCTCTTCGATATTTCTCAAGCACACCCACATTCATTAACTTTTCAGGTGAAGTATCAAACTGATGGTCCAGGAAATAAGATCAGGTGCTCAGGTCAAAAGACACAAAAGCACATGGTTTTGCTGGTGTTTGGTGTTGAGTCATTAGTCCAGATTATGTCTCATATATATATATATATATATATATATATGTATATA